ATTGTTTGTAACAGTAAGGTGATGACCAAAAGGCCTATCATTTGGGATCAAATCAATTACACTCAACATACAATAGATTACCCTTCAGCCATTAAATGGAAAGAAATAGAATGGTGTGCTTGATCCTGAAAGATTTCTCAGATACAGGTCAAATGAAAAATAAAATCAAGGAGCACAAAAAAAGAGGGTGAGGCACAACCATATGTATAATATGTGTATTTGTGGGGAAAAGGAGTAAACTAAAAATACGTACTTGTATAAACAATTTTTTTAAAAGGAAAGCTGAGGTGCTTTTGCATAGTTGGCTATGAGGAGGGGCACTAGGAGATCTAATATGTGGGGTTTTTTTTTTAACATTTGTGTTTGTTCTTTTTTCCACAAAAATATCTACTAATTTAAAAAGGAAATGAGCACATTTTTTGCATGAATGTCCAATAAATGTTCAATAGACCTGTAATTTAAAAGGAAGTAAAGACTTTCTCTTCTTTAAAAAAAAAAAATTGGTTTACAAATGTGAAATAGGTACAAAAGAAAATTTATATAGTGTGTGTGAACTATAAAGAGTAACTATACAACCAATACCTTTAGATCTACCACCTAGTTAAGTAACGGAACATTTCTTTTGAAGCCCCTTATATATTCTTTCCTGATCCCATCTCCTTTCCTCTCCACTTGGAGAAGTGATTGATTATTTTTGTCAATTTTGTTTTTATTTATTTCTTTGCTTTTCATTTTTTTATCACTTAAGTTTGTTTCTCTAAGCAATGTATTATTTAGTGGTGCTTTATTGTAAACTTGCATAGAAAGATTATATTTTACATGTATTCTTCTTTAGCTTACTTTTTTCACTTAACATTATGTTCCTGTGTTAATACATCTGTAGTTCATTCAGATTTACTGCTCTACAGTACTCCATTGTGTGAGTGTACAGTTTATTCACTCTACTGTTGATGGACATATGGCTGCTATGCATATGCTTGTACAAGCTTTCTGGTGCCCACGTCCAAGAATTTATTAGGCCATTTACCTAGAAATAGCATTTGTGAATCACTGGCTAAACATATCTGTGACTTTCAAGAAAATGCCAATTATTTTTTAAATTGTTGTAGTAATTTTTGTTTCCATCAGAAGTGTCTAAGAGTTACAATACTTCATATTATTGGACTTTTCAGTCTTTGCCAGTTGATATAAAATGGTCTCTTAGTATGATTGAACATCTTCTGTTTATTGGTTGCTAATGTTTATTTTCTAGGGATTATATTTTTAATAGGTTTTATCCATTTTTATAAAATTCAGTTGTCTTTTACTGATTTCACTGGAGTTCTTCATATATTATAATACTAATTACGTAATTCTCAGTTACACGCATTACATATTTTCTCATTTGTGGCTTGGCAAATAAAAACATTTACTTCCATCATTTTAAAACCTTTTTATTATGGGAGTTTTTAACATATGTAAGAATGAAGAGGATAGTACAACTAACCCCTGCATATCCATCACTCAGCTTCCACAATTGCCAGCATCTTGCCAGTCTTATTTTGTCCATTTCTTGTCTTCACGAGGAGGTCACAGACATCATCTCATTTTTTCCGTAAATACCACAGGATGCATGACTGATTTGATAAGAGAGTTTAAAAAGAAATAACCATCATGCTATTATCACTTGTAACAGAGTTAATAATTCCTTAACCTTCAACTTTTCCCAATTGTCTTAGAAATATCTTTTTAAAATAGGCTTGTTAGAATCAAGATCCACATGTGTTTAGTCTTTTTTGACCTCTTAAGTCTAAGTCTCTTAGTGTCTTTTTTTTTTTTAAAGATTTTCTTTATTTATTCATGAGAGAGATACAGAGAGAGAGAGAGGGGCACAGACACAGGCAGAGGGAGAAGCAGGCTCCACACAGGGAGCCCGATGTGGGACTCGATCCTGGGTTTCCAGGATCACACCCTGGGCGGAAGGCAGGTGCCAAACCGCTGAGCCACCCGGGCTGCCCAGTCTCTTAGTGTCTTATTTCATAATGTTTGATACTCCTCCTCTGCCAAAAATACTTTGTACACGTATTATTTTGTGTTTTTATTTGTGCCTTTTTTGTGTGAGTAAAATTTTTTTAAAAATATTAACTGATGTAGTTGAATATATAAGTTTTTCCTACTAGTTGATGCTTTGGGGGTCTTGTTTAAGAAATTCTATTCTCTACAGTTTTCTAATGACTTTAGCAGTTTTACCTTTTACTTTCAAGTCTTGAATTAACTAGGATTTAATTCTGTATGTGGTGGGAGGTTGAGATCCAGTTTTAATTTTGTCTGTGTAGAAACCTAGTTATCAGAGCCCCTGAACTTGATAGTACTGTCATCTACAGTACCAACTCTCTTTTTTTTTTTTTAAGATATATATATTTTTTTATTTATTTATGATAGTCACAGAGAGAGAGAGAGAGAGAGAGAGAGGCAGAGACACAGGCAGAGGGAGAAGCAGGCTCCATGCACCGGGAGCCCGATGTGGGATTCGATCCCGGGTCTCCAGGATCGCGCCCTGGGCCAAAGGCAGGCGCCAAACTGCTGCGCCACCCAGGGATCCCCGAGTACCAACTCTCTTATAAATCAGGTCCTCATGTATGTGTTCAATAGCCTACTTGTCACCATGATGTCCTAAATATTAAAGTTTTATAATATTTCTAGCTACCTGATTGAGTAAGTCCTGTATATTTGTTCTTTAAGATTATCTTTGCAACTCTTGGCCTTTGGTGCATCTATATACATTTTATAATCTGCTTGTCCAGGGGCACCCGGGGGGCTCAGTTGATTAAGCATCCAACTCTTGATTTTGGCTCAGATCATGATCTCAGGGTCATGAGATCAAACCCTGTGGTGGGCTCTGTGCTGGGCAGGAAGCCTGCTTGGCATTCTCTCCCTCCCTCTGTTCCCTGCTCCCAACTTGCTCATGTGCACTCTCTCTCTCTAAAAAAAAGAATGAATCTGCTTGTCCAGTTACACACACAGACACACATAATTACTATTTTTATTGGGATTGCATTGAATTTGGTGAGAATTTCCTCGTTGTATTATTGAATCTTCTTATTTATAAACCTGGCACATCTTTCCTATTTAAGGCCTATATTTTTTTCTTACAGCATCTTCCTATTAAATTATGATACGCCAATGTAGAAGAGAAAGAGTCTTGCACCTGGAACTAATGTTACATTGTATGTCAACTATACTTCAATTAAAAAAAATAAATTTTTAAAAGAAAAAGATAACCTTTGCCTCTACCTGACACCATACATAAAAATTAATTTGAGAGGAATCATGGACCTCAAGATAAAAGCTAAAACTATAAAACTCTTAGAAAAAAACAGAATAACTTTGTGATATTGGAGTAGGCAAAGATTTCTTAAGCCACAGAAAACATGAAATCTTAAAAAAAAAAAGATCTAATTATTGGACTGACAATTTCTTCGCATGAAAAGACATTATTAGGACAATAAATTGGCAAGCCACAAAAAAAGGTATATATAATGCACATGTATTGCAAAGAAAACAAGCAACCAAACATAAAAATGGGCAAAAATTTTGAATAGATACTTCACAAAAGGCCATTTCAATAACCAAAGGACATAGTGTTTAATATCATCATTAGTCATCAAGAAAATGCAAATCAAAACCACAGAGATCTACCACTAGGATGGCTAACGTGGAAAAAAGACAACTGCAAATGTTGGAAAGGACATAGAGCCTTGGAATTCTCATTTATTGTTGGTGGAAGTATAAAATGCTATAATTATTTTGGGAAACTCAGTTTCCTAAAATGTTAAACATACTGAAACTTTATTCTCAGATACTTAATTCAAGAGAAATTAAAACATGTCCACAAAAAACCTATGTAAGAATGTTCCTAGCAGCTTTATTCATAATAGCCTACAAATGGAAACAGCCCAAATCTGTCAAGAGGAGAATGGATAAACAAACTTATATATTCATACAATAGAATACTATTCAACCAAAAAAGAAACTATTGATACACAAGTAACATGGTTAAACTTTATGCTCAGTGAAAAAAAAAAAAAACAGGTACAAAAAGTTATGTAATGTATTATTACATTTATATGAAATTCTAGAATAGACAAAAGGATATTGGAATAGAAATAAAATCAGTGGTTGCTTTGGGTATTGAGAGTTGACTGGGAAGGGGCACAAGGAAACTTTTCTGAGTCTTTATAGGAGTGGGTTACATGAGTATAAGCATTTGTGAAAACTGATTGAATGGATCTTATAAGAATTCAAGAGTAGTGTTTATAAAGATGGAAAGGTGATCCTCACAGATTATCAGCTAGGATTGAATATCCAGAACTGTATACACCAAATCTGTGCTTCTGATAACCATGCTCCAGACCAATGTTTTTCAACTAGGGACCATTTTGCCCCTCAGGATGCATTTGGCAACATCCAGAGACAGTTTTGATTGTTGTAACTTGAGGGGAAAAGGTATATTATTGGCATTTGATGGGTAGAAGCCGTGAAGGCTGCTAAACATCCTACAATCACATGAGAGTCCTCCACAGCAAAGAATTGTCTGGTCCAAAATATCACTGGTGCTAACTTGGGAGAAACCTGTTCTAGACCTGTTCTTATTATAGAAGCTGTCAGCATTAGCCAACCAGATGTAGACTATATTCATAGTCCAAATCAATTGTGGAAACTTGTCATTTGCACAAATATTTCTTCCCCAAGAGAATTTAATATCAAACATTTGCAAATATACATAATCTTAAATTTGGAGATAAAATTCCCTGTGTTAAGAGCATTTCCGAAATCAAAATTAACTGTGTTATTTCAATTGATTGTGAAATTTTTAAGATGGTTTATTCTTAACTTTTTTTTCATTACATATTCAAGGAAATGACTTCGGCTATCTTCCTTTAAATAAAATAAATTAAAAAGGCCTTATTATTAGATTAGAGGAAATAAATGATAGTAATTTATTTTTCTTCCCTCTACAGAATGACAGGCAGCGAATTTTTTTCTCGTTTCCCAGAACTCTATCCCTTTCTTCTACAACAGTTGGAAGCTGTAGCTAATACTGTGGACAGGTAAGAAGAGAATAGGGTGGGACGCAGTGAAATCAAGGAAGTGAATTACTTCATTAATTGAGGTTTTTGCCTCCAGGCAACAGTTTTTAATCAACTCCTTCCTTGTAACATAGATGAATTTTTAAAAAGTGTTTAGTACATCATGTTGCCTGACTCTCTACAGTAGATTTGTACTTGAAAAGTTATATAAAATCCTGTTTGTTTTTGTTTTTGTTTAGAGGTGGGGGATGAAAAGAGGGAGAGAATCTTAAGCAGGCTCCACTTCCAGCACAGAGCCCCAGGACTCAGGGCTCTTAATGACTCTGAGATCAGGTGCTAAGCTGAAATCAAGAGTGGGACACTTAAACGACTGAGCCACCATTTAGCCACCATTTTAGATGCCTCTAAAATCCTGGATTTTTTTTTTTTTAAGATTTCATTTATTTATTCATGAAAGACACACACAGAGGCAGAGACACAGGCAGAGGGAGAAGCAGGCTCCATACAGGGAGCACGACATGGGACTCGATCCCAGGTCTCCAGGATCAGGCCCTGGGCTGAAGGTGGCGCTAAACCGCTGAGCCACCCCGGCTGCCCCAAAATCCTGTTTTTATAATATATTTTTAAAATCCTTTTTTATATTGTTTTTTTCAAATTTAACTCTGTTTTCAGTGAACATTTTTCAGAAATTAGCTTCTTAGAAGCACAAAAAGCATTTTCTTCCCATGATATTTAAAGATCTTTGTGTTTACCTACTGAGTTTGCTGTAACAAACAGCAGTCTTTTTTTCTTACTGGCTTGTTGCAGTTGACCATTGTGAGAGTAAGCAAATAGCCGGCAAACAGGTGACCAGAAATGGCACTGGCATACCTGACCCTGCAAACACAAAATACAGCTCTTCAGAAGGCTCCCAGTCAGATCAGGGCACATAGAAAAGTTTACCATTGTCCTTTCAATCACATCCTGTATCAGTAGTAGAATTTTTAGAAAGGTGTGTTGGAACATGTGCTTTTTTTAAATTCTTCTAGCAATATTTGCACTTGATATGCACTTTATTAATAGGGAAGTAAAATAACATCAGTGAATTTTATTTCTGTTTATGATACATTTCCTCACATTAGTAATTTGTACAGACAGGCTTTTCTGGCCCCAGTAAGTGACCGTTCAAGCTTTCATAAGTACATTTAGCTGTTGAAAGTTTCACATTTCATACTGTGGAACTCCTTTCTGCTGTATGAACAGCCCAAATCAAAACACAGACAAGAATTAACAGTTAGCTTTGAGAAGAGAATCGTGTGCAAAAGCCCAATCCATAGCTTTGCCAGTAGTTCTTCCTTATTTGCATGTTAGAAATATATGAAATGAATGGATGGAAAAACACACAAATGAAAGAATGATCTGATCATCCAGAGTCTCACTTTATATTCATAATTCTTTAATGAGAAAAATGTTTGAGGGCAGTGTCTCACCTCTCAAATTATAAATCTTTTGTGTACAATAATTTTTTTTTTCAGTGATACAGGAGAACTCAACCGTCATCCAAGCATGTTTCTCTTACTTTTGGTGTTGGGAAGACTCTACCCTTCTCCGATGGACGGCACTTACTCTGCTCTCAGCATGGCACCGTTCATTCCCTTCATTATGAGGTAGTGTGTACTTCATGGAAATAATGGGTTAGGCACGGGGGCTTTATGGAGTATTTTAACTTGTTCTTATTTTGGAAACTATGTCGTTTTTTGTTTTTGTTTAATTTTGAGAGGGGTCTTATGAAAGCAGGGCCTGGGGGTTATTACTGTTTGCCTCCCCAACTGGTCTCCAGTGGTTCAGAGGAAAGTGCTTCTTTTGTGGGTGCAGAAGCCCATACCCACTGTTTAATTAATGTTTCTTTGGCACTCTGCCGACTAACGGATGTGTGGTGTTGATAGGAGATGCCTGCTTTTGAAAACCATAGCCTAGGTGTTTGCATCATCCCTGGGTTAAGCCTCATCAGCATGAAGCAGGCTTGGTACTGGCAGTATAGCCTCCTGTCCAAGGTTTCAAGAGGACATTTGTCTCTTCACTCTGAAATCAGAGTTTGCTAGTGGGTGCAAGGGGTAGCATCCAGGTGGCAGTGCAATGTGGCACAAGTTCACTTCCTCGTCATCTTCTTCTTCTAGCACGGAGTACCTGAGAAAAAGCCATGCAGATAGATTATACATGGAATCAGATGATAACAGGCTTTTCTGCTCTAGAGCTTATTGCCACTTCCTCTGTTACAGTTTTTGAGGTATTTCCCAACTTCTGATGACCTTTTTCATTTTCGATCAAAGTAGGCCTCTGAAAAGTATTAAAAATTTTCTTATGGAACATTTCAGAAGCCCAGTGATACTAGTCAGCTTTTACCTTTCTGCTTATGTCTCAATAAAGCAGCACTTTCATTTTTATTTATCTACCAAAAATTGAGGTAGACTTGGAGCAAAACGTTAGAGATACAGCAAACTCAAGAGAATGTGTTTGTTATTTATGTGGCACCCTGGGTTCCACTTCCTGGTTTCACAGAGCTGACTGATGCATTTTAATGTGAGAAACCATTAAGTACAAGATGCTGGCATGTGATTGCTGTAGCCATTTGTTTGCGCCAAGCTCAGGCTGTGGCTGTGTTATCTCTGATCACAGAGATGACTCACTCGGATCGGTTTTTGTTTCCTGATACACAAAGTTACCAGTCTCCTGTATCCAGCATTTGGTGATTCATTTTAGGAATTTGGGTTGTAAATTTTACTTTCAGGAGCATTGAAAAACTGTACTTTCACATATAACTGGAAAGAACTAAAAAATGTTTCAGAAGGTTGACGGGGTTAGGGAGAAAGGCACATGCTCAGAATCACAGAAGGACATGCTTCTTGTCATTCTGTGCTGAGAACATTCAATTTGTGGAAGTCTATTACTAATCAATCTGTTATGTGTTACATCATAGAAACCAGAAATTACTACATTGAAGGTATTCTTCGTGTTATTGATAGTCTACATATAATCAGAATGCTCATATTGCTAATTATATTCAGGACATTTATTATATAACAGAGATTGCACTAATATAGAAGATTTAAATAATGCCATAAAGTTATAAGCTCAAAAGGCACAAAGAGTCCATTGCACGGTCCTTCCAGGGAAATTGCCTTGGTCAGTAGTTGCTTTCTATGTGAATAAAGCATTCATAGAGTGCCACCAACAGCACAAGTGCCACAGCTGATTCCTTAGAGTGTCAATAGGCCCTGTTATTGAATGTCCATTTGTGGTATGAACAGTGTTTCTCAAACTTTAAGAGATAAACCTATCACTTTGGGAATCTCATAAATTCAGTTTTGGAAGGTCTGGATTGGGGCCCAAGGATCTACCTTTCACACAGACTTCCAGGTAACGCTGATGCTGCTGGTCTGTAGATCACACTTTGAGTACCAGTATTAAATTTGGGATATTAAATATTATCACAACCCCTCTTTGTCCCCCACCATGTACATGGTTTTAACAAATTAGACAATAGCAGGGTCACACTTGGTACTTGATTAGGCTACTCCAGGGGTTTATAAGAAGTAGATTTTGACCCAGGAATGCAGAGAACAAACAAGAAAGTATTCTGAGCAGAGATGTTAGTAGAAAGTACACCAGCATTTGTTGAACTTTGACTATTTTCTAGGTGCTGAACCGGCCATCTTGTTTACGATTCCAAGAGGACGTGTTATCACCTCCACTTTCCTGTTGAGGAAGTTGAGGTTCAGAGAGCGAGTCAGTAACAGCGCTAGAATAGGAACCCAAGAGTATAAGACTGTCAGGGTGTTGGGTGTACTCTTTCCATTACACCAAAATAACCAGCTTCCTTTTGTGCAGCCAAGAGCAGTGGCTATGCTGAGTAGGCTTGTGGGCTCAAATTGATGTAATTTAGAATGAGGAAGAGCCTATCTCCAGAGTTGGTGGATCCAAGTGCAGACTGTTTTCACAATATAGAAGTCCTGTCCCCACCAGCAGTGGGATCTGCTTCTTGCTTTGCTTTTCCAGTATTGAGGATGGCTTCTCTTGGGTTCACCTCTGCAGGATCATTGCCTGAGGTATCAGGGTTAGTCTGTGACAGGTGTGGAGGGAGGCTAGTTTAGCTAAGCCCTGACTATCTTCTGTGATACAATGGAAGGATCCTAGACTTGAAGTTTAGTCAAAATCCCAGTTTGGGGTTTCATCAACCCAGTAGAGGGGCAGCCCTGTACTACTATAAAATGTTCGCAATCACTCTGGGCAGATAAACCATAAAAATGGTGATTTTGATAAAATTGTACACATTGATTTAAATTACTTCTGAGAAAATTCTTTGTGAAGGAAGTGAAAGATTGATCATAAAACCTGTCATTCCAGGCAATATTTTTGGTTCTAGTGATGATAAAGGTTGGGCTGTTTTGACTTGGGATAATAGCTGAAAAGATGGATGTATGCATGAGTGGTTGGGTGATACTTTATTCTTGTAGCATTGCCAGTGTTAATTTATGTAGTTGGAAGAGTCTAATCAGGATCTTGGATATTCTGAGTTTAGTTAAATAGAAATTTTTCAGCTAGTGGGAGTAGCATGAGGGTTGCTCTGACCATGCTAAAGTGAATTGCACAAACAGAAGATTAAAAGCCCCAATAATAGCTTCTTATTTCCCTTTGATTTATGTATGCTTACCTGCCATTTCCTTCCTCTTTGTAAGATGTTTGTAGGTATTGTTTGTATTTTTGTTCCTTATCCCACATTTAGAAGTATAAATTTATATCTCTATTGATCTACTTTGTTGACTGAAATCTTAGAAGTTCTGATTTGGGTTTTCCAAAGTTATGCGTGTGTGCAGTTATGATTGTTGCATCACCTTGGAACAGAAATGATAATGTTAATCACAATGTTTTGTTTGCAAGTTTTTTTTAATCGAGTGTATTTTATGTGCCTGATGCTGTGAGGGATCCAGATTCACAGCCCTTTACCATGCAAATATGAGGTCTGCAGTTAAAGACCATTCACCCTTCAGTTCAAATACCACCAAGACGAGTGACTCATGCTTTAAATGGGACCCCCAACAGGCTCCTCTGAATACACCTTGTCTAGGGCTTTCTAGAGACCAGAGTATCTCTCTACATGTACCTTTGAATTCTGTTTTACAAGAGAGTTTCAAGTGTGAATTGAAGAACTACAGGAAACCAAATATGCCCCAAACTGAGGCCACAGCATGGCATCCTGAATAGAAGAAAGGCTCTGGATTTAAGAGACCAGTTCTGTCCAAGCTCTGCCACTTACTGACAGACTGACACTTGGGCAAGGCCCTCTACCCTCTTGGAACCAGTGTGGTATCACTGTGCAGGCAGGTGTCCAGCTGAGCCAGAAAGCCCTTTCTGGTGCTGCCAATAGATCTCAGCATTGGATTAATATCTGTGGGAGAAACCTCTCCACTGCTTTTTATTTATTCTTTGTGTGCTTTTAAATTTTTTTTTTTTTTTAATTTACGATAGTCATACAGAGAGAGAGAGAGAGGCAGAGACACAGGCAGAGGGAGAAGCAGGCTCCATGCACCGGGAGCCTGACGTGGGATTCGATCCCGGGTCTCCAGGATCGCACCCTGGGCCAAAGGCAGGCGCCAAACCGCTGCGCCACCCAGGGATCCCTCTTTGTGTGCTTTTAAAAGGATCTCCCCAAACAAACCCCTTGCCTTTTTGGGAGCTGATCTTTTTTTTTATTTTTTTTAAGATTTTATGTATTTATTCATGAGAGACACAAAAAGAGAGGCAGGGACACAGGCAGAGGGAGGAGAAGCAGGCTCCAAGTAGGGAGCCCAATGTGGGACTCAATCCCGGAAATCCGGGATCACACCCTGAGCCAAAGGCTGACACTCAACCGCTGAGGCACCCAGGTGTCCTCAGGGACCAATCTTCATTGCAAATGACTTTCAGTATGTCTTTCCTCAAATCATTTCATTGTTTACTGTTGAGAACTTTTTGGTGAAATCTGCTGTTCTTTTCTCTGAAAAATACTGAAGTGCTAATAACAATACAATCTTAAATACGTGGCTGTGGAAATCACCCATGGGGACCTATGCTGTGGACACTTTTATTCGTTGAGATGTTGAAAAATCTAACCAAGAATAAAAAAGATGGAAAATACATGTTTTGTACATTTAAAAAATATTTCATAGGATCTTTGGATTGTACCAGTCTTAAAAAGGGAGGAAGGGTAGAAGGTATAAAAACTGAGTTAGGGGGATCCCTGGGTGGCGCAGCGGTTTGGCGCTTGCCTTTGGCCCAGGGCGCGATCCTGGAGACCGGGGGTCGAGTCCCACGTCGGGCTCCCCGTGCATGGAGCCTGCTTCTCCCTCTGCCTGTGTCTCTGCCTCTCTCTCTCTCACTGTGTGACTATCATAAATAAATAAAAATTAAAAAAAAATTAAAAAAAAAACTGAGTTAGGCCTTTTAAGCCTGTGATATTGAGAAATAACATTGGCCCTTGTTTTCTTGTCCTTGAAAGTTACATAATTCAAGGATTACCACATTACTCCTTTCCCAGGTTGTGGAGTTGAAGGAACTTGTTTTCCATAGTGTAGAGTTGGGGTTTTTGCAGGAGACGGTAGATGGCTTCTACCTTCACTTGCAATTGTAA